TTATCTTTCTAAAATTTGCTCAAGGACGTATGTGCTCACCAGAGAGAGACAGAGAGAGAGAAAAAGTGAGAAAGGAGGCCACTAGGTCCAGGACTCAAACCACAGGCAGCCATGTCATGTGGGAGTACCCGACCCACCATGCCACCTGCTGGCCCCCTGCATCTTCTTTCTTTCTTTCCTTCTTTCTTTTTCTTTTTTTTTTTTTTTTTTTTTTTTTTGAGACTTTTGCTACAAGGCGAATGTGCTCACCAGAGAGACAGAGAGAGAAAGGTGAGAAATCACCCCCCAGGGGAATGGCCATGCCACAGTCCCTTCTCCCCCACTCTCCTCTTGGGATTCTGGGCAAGAATCACACACAAATCCCTGGGGTGTGTTCCAAGCCGCGGGGCCCAAGACTTGAAGTGCAGCCAGCCATGTGGAAGTCCAGCACCTTAACTACTATGCCACCTGCCAGTCCCACTGGTATCTTCTTTCTTCAGCCAACTCAATATGGCACCTTATCCTCAACCTTTGCTTTCTTTCCCCAGCCCTGGGATGGCCTCGGCTGGCCCCCAATGTGAAAGTATCTCCAATTCATACCCAGAGAAGAGAATGGTAGGTTTCCAGTCCCTGCAGGAAAAGTACCCCGGATCTGGTGGGCCTTCCCAGCATCAGCAGCTGCTGCTGCTGACCACAGGCCCTGTCCACTAGGACACCCCCACACCCAAGCCCAAGCGTACTCCTGTCCGTGCGTCATCTCAGACGTGAGACCTCTGGAGGGGCCCTGAGCAACAGGCAGGGTTCCCCACTGTACAGGCAGCTAAGCAGGACTCTTGGAGAGAGTGGACAACTTGCCCGGGGTCACAGCGGCTGAGTGGTGGGGCTGGGCTTCAAAACGAGACTCCCACTTTCCTCCCAAGGCTCCCCCACACCGGAGGCCTCCATGAGGGCACCACAGGGCCTCAGGGGGCTGCCCTGTGCGTGGCCTCCTGTGGGGAGGGTTTGGACTCTTCGGAGGTTCTCTTCCAAACGCGTTTGCCAGCTCCTGTCACATTGAACTAACTCTGACCCCATTTCAGTAACTGGGTGAAATAGCTGAAACTGGGGTCCCACAGGGGCCACGGGGCGTGGATGGAGCACTCACCACACAGGGGGACCTCCCAGCAGCCCCACTCTGCTGCTCGCCCGCCTGCGTCTGGGCAAGGTCTCTTGGCTTCTGTTTTCTCCTCTGGCCCCACGGGCCCCTTCCAGCTTTGGCGCTCTGCACTTTGCATATCACGTGTGTTTCCCGGGCGTTCCGTGAGGTTGACGGCGTCCATGCCCCGTTGAGAAAGGGAGTGTGTTTAGGAAGTTTCCCGTCTGGGGTGAGCCCACCTGGGGCATGTGGGTGCACACAGTGCCTTCTCCTGGCCTTTCCCCTGCAACCCTGGGCTTTGGGGCTGTGTGATGGCCCAGCAGTCCTCCCACTGGGGGCCGAGTGTTCTCTCCCACCCTCTCAGCCCCTCAGGCCCAGGGGTCTGAACGCCTCCACCCACTCGCCACCCACTCAGGATCCTGGCTCTTCGTCCTCCTCCCGTGGCTGGTTATCGAGCCAGGGATCTGGTGGACAAGTGTCCCCCTGTCTGTGTCTTTCAGGGACAGGGATGTGTTCTTTGCCCTGGTCTCTCGCTAAGCATTTTGTACTGACTCATCGAATTTTAATCTCCTCAGTCTCTCTCTGGGGCCATAGCAGCATTTCCATTTGCCTAACTCTGGGGCCATAGCAGCATTTCCATTTGCCAACAAGACACTTGAGACTCAGGGAAGTGAACGGGCCTGTCTACACTGACACGCTAGTTAGCGCCGAGCCGAGGTTCAGCCAGGGCTGGCACACCCCGGCAGGCCACACGCCTTTGCATCCCTTGTCTGCACTGGAGCGGTGGAAGCGTGCGGTCTTCCCGGAGTGGCGTGCCTAGCCTTGTCTGTGTGGTCTGGGTGGAGGACAGTGGTCTTTTTGTGTTTGGTGGGAGGTCCGGGGTGACCTGGGAGGAGTTCTGGAGGGCAGCAGATGCTCTTGTGTTTGGAAGGTGGGACTGTGGCATTGGGGTTTCTGAAGAAAGCTGGTGCCTCCCAGCTCGGCACCCCAAACTCTGCCTGCATTTGCGTCCAGGTGCTGGAAGGAGACCAGGCCATCCTGCAGAGAATAAAGAAGGCCGTGCGGGCCATCCACAGCTCTGGCCTCGGTGAGTGAGCCTGCGGGGCCCCACCTGGCTGGACCCCCGCCCAGCTGCAGCCTGGACAGAACTCAGCCCCTCGCTGCCCTCCGCAGGCCACGTGGAGAACGAGGAGCAGTACCGCGAGGCCGTGGAGTCCTTGGGCAACAGCCACCTGTCCCAGAACAGCCACGAGCTGTCCACTGGCTTCCTGAACTTGGCCGTGTTCACGCGTGAGGTGGCCGCACTCTTCAAGAACTTGGTGAGGCCGCTTCCCCTTCCTCAGCCCTCTCCCAGGCCCGGTACATCCCGTGAGCTGAAGAACCTGACAGGGAACGGGCTGGCTTCCCCCTTCTGGTTTGCCCTGGACCTCTGGCCCACGGCCCTTGCAGCCCTGCCCTGCCTGTGCATCCTCCTCTTCCTCTCCAGCTCTCCCCGCGGCCTCTCTCCCCCAACTCTCCTCTGCCTCACTGTCCCCTGAGCCCTCGGGGCTGACAGGCCATCACATGGGCGGGCGCTGGGGTCTCCGCCTTTTCCAGGTTCAGAACCTGAACAACATCGTCTCCTTCCCACTGGACAGTCTGTTGAAGGGGCAGCTGAGGGACGGGCGGCAGGTGAGCTCCTAGTTTCTCTGTGGGAGCCGCGGTGGGGCAGAGAGGACAGGGCGGGCAGGACGCCCTCGGGGCTGAGGACGGAGGCCAGGTGGGGGAGCTCTCCGTGCAAGTGTGCTGACCTCTCCTCGAGGGGACTGGCTCAGGGACTGCCTGAGACACTGCCAGGCCCCTTAGAGGAGACGCCCGTGTGCATTAGCGTGCCCCTTCGAGGCAGGTTCTGGGGTGGCTCCCTGCGCCCGGGTGCAGTCGAGGAGCCCTTCCATGGCCACTGCACTGCCATGCTTGGGCTGGCAGCCCCAGCTGGGTGCAGGGCGGAGCTCAAGGAGGGGACAGAAAAACCTCCCTGGGCTTCCCCAGAGGGTTCCCTCCCTGCCTCAGGCTGCACGGGCCTGGGAACCACCCAAACCAGACAGGCAGCCTTTTCATCTTGGAAGTTGGGGCTGTCGGGAAGGGTGTGAGTAGCTCAGCTGGACGAGGCCTAGGCAGCTAGGCCAGGGGTCGGTCAGTCTCCCTGGCTTGCTGTGTGGCCCTGGGTAGACTTCTCAACCTCTCTGTGTGTGTTTCTTGACCTGTGCCCTTCCTAGTGAAACGATGGCTTAATACTAGGCAGGAGAGAATGCCAGGATCAAGTTAGGGGAGGAGTTCGATCCTGCCACCCTCATCCTCATGGCTGATCTTTATATTTTGAGTAAGAGAACTCAGGACAGAGCCCAAAGACCTCCTCCCAAGCCAGGGCCGCTAGACACGACTGACTCTCGGCATCTGTGGAGGCGAGGGGAAGAAGGGGCTCAGCCCTGGGAAACATGGTCGGTTGGGTCTATCGGTGGGTGAGGGGCAGGCAGGGGTTGGTCAAACAGCTCTGAGCGGCATAGGGGAGCACATAAGCGGGGTCTCCCTGAAAGTAGCAAAGAGCACTACTGTTCCAGAGCTCAGATTTCCCTTTGGGCAAATTATTCTTTTTTTTAAACCCCAGGATTCCAAAAAGCAGCTGGAGAAGGCATGGAAGGACTACGAAGCCAGAGTGTAAGTGATGGCGGCAGGGCGGGCCACCCAGGACAGCACTCGTGTGGCAGCGGAGGCTGGGTATCGGGAAGAACATGTCACGGAGGTGCGGGGCGTCACTCCCGAGAGGTGTCACAGAGGGCGGTTTCTGCCGGGCCTGACCAGCCTCTGGGGGCCGTGCCTCGAGACTACCAAAGGGGGGGCCACTGTGAAGGGGCTTCACTATGCCGCTTACACAGCCATGGCTGGGTGGTGCCAGACGTGGGCAGGGGTGGAAGGGAGCTGCCATTTACCGAAGACCTCCAAGTGCCGGTCCTTCAGTTCTCAGTCGCCCAGCCCTGTGAGGGGTGTTAGTGTCGCAATACCAGAGGAGGAATTGCAGGCCCAGAGAGGTTAAGTCGCCTGCCCTAGTCCACACAGGCAGGCAGAGGCAGAAGTGGGGTTCATGCTCCTTGCTCCTCAGTCCTCAGTGCCAAGTGTACCCACACATCCAGTGGGGCGTAGGCGAGGGCGTTGATGTCACACCCTGCCTCCTACCTGCACCAGGCGTACTCCAGCCCTCTCACAGGCACAAAGCAGCCAGCTCTTCCCGAGCAGAGATGTCGGCTCGGACTTCTGGGGACTGCACAGGTTCTAGACCCAGCTCCAGCCCTCTGCCCGGGTCAGCCAGACCAAACCTCAGGGAGTCATCTGTTCTTTGTAAAATTTTGTTTACTCTTACATTTTGTTAAAACAATGCATGTTTATTATGCATACTTCAGAAAACATGGAGATGTAAAAGCGGAAAACATTGTAATCATCCTTAGGAAAAAATTCGAGTCGCATGGGAGAGTATCTAATATGCTGTTTTTGTTTTGAAAGGTTTTTGCTATAGGGCACGTTTGCTTGCCAGAAAGACAGAGAGAGACAGAGAGACAGAAAACGAGAAATCACCCCCCGGGGGGATGGCCATGCCGCAATTCCTTCTCCATTCTCCTCTCTGGATCTTGGGCATGTACGCACACGCGCCCGGCGTGAGTTTAAGCCACTGGGTCCGGGACTCGAAACGCGGTCAACTACATGGGAGTCCAGCAATATAGCCATTATGCCAGCTGCTGGTTCCTGTTTTTAATTTTGCCAGAGGGAGTGTGTGCTTGCAGGAGAGAGGGAAAGGGTTAAAAAGCACTTCTCTTGGGGCATGGTCATGTCACAATCCCTTCTCCATTTCCCCCTCTTTTTGGGGTTTTGGGCACATACACAGTTACCCTATTTCTCAAGTCACTAGGTCTGGGATTCGAACTGTCCAGTTGGCCATGTAGGATCCAGCCACCTTAACCACTACACCACAAGCTGGCCCTGAATGTTTAATTTTTTAAAGAATTATTTAATTTTAATTAATTAATTTGTTTATTTCAATTTGACCAGAGAGGGAGAGAAGGTAAGAGAGAGAGAGAAAGTGAGAAACTAAGCCACTCGGTCTGGGGCTCGAACTGCAGTCAGCCATGTGGGAGTCTAGCACCTTTAACCATCGCACCACCTGCCAACCCCATGTTTAATTTTTTTTTTTACAAGTTATGGGTAGCACTATAATTTTAGCACTAATAAAAAAAAAGTGGAGCAGAGAGAAACTACCAAAAAATAGAAGAAAAATCCCTAATTTCCAAGCTAAAGTATTAAAAATTTTCCATTTATTTTCTATATATAAAAAAAAATGTTACCAAATGAAGTCATACTAATCACAGTCTTGTAACCTTTTTTCACTGAGAAATCCGCTTTTCCATGTCTTTACATGGTCTCATATAACATCAGGTGAACGGGTGCGTGGTGTGCCAACATCTGTATAACCTGTGACACACTTTTTTTTTTTTTCTTTTTTGGAGGTTTTCGCTATAGGGCGCGTGCGCTTACCAGAAAGACAGAGAAAGACAGAGAGACAGAAAGCGAGAAATCACCCCCTAAGGGATGCCACGCTGCAATCCCTTCTCCTCCATTCTCCTCTCAGGATCTTGGGCACGCATGCACACGTGCCTGGCATGAGTTTAAGCCACCGGGTCCAGGACTTGAACCGTGGTCGACTACATGGAGTCCAGTGACATAGCCATTACACCAACTGCTGGTCCCTAAGCCCTTAGCCTTTTAGGGCATGTCTTACTAAGTGGAATGAGTGAGCCTCTGACCTCTCCCAAAGCAGGCCTTTTTACTGGGTTTTTGTATTGTGCTTTTCTGTAAGATATTTTTTAAAAGAATTATTTATTTAATTTTATTATTATTATTA